GTGGGGGAGGGGGGGGGGTACACCCCTTAAAACTCCTGATTGGTCCAAAGAACAGAAATTAAGCTACTACAGCACAAGTAAGGCTTTTAGTGTGATACAGTCCGAATAAAAATAAAAAGGGTCAGATATTTTGAAAACTATTAATTTGTGAGGAATATTCAGTCGATATTCATGAAGACAAAACAGATTTATAAAATGGTCAAGAAAAGGGGGGGATAATTGGGTTTTGACCGCAACAATCTATGGAGTGGAGTTCTTTGGGCTCCATCAAGTGCTTTAAATTACAATTACTTCTGGTTCGAAACGGTTACTTTTTGCTGCGTGTACCAAATATGATGTTTGATGTGTGGTGAGCGAGAGAAAATATCAAGGAAGTGGCTATCCTCACCCGGGGTGAGAATAAAAAAACAATCGACTTCTCACCCCGGGTGAGACTTTCCAGCATTGGCTATTCTCACCCGGTGTGAAACAAGACCTGTTTTTCCTAATTTCGGAATACTGTCTATCGGTGTGGATAATCAAATTGACAAAAGAAAAGAAAAAATGATGTTATAACACAAAAGTAAGCTAATTTGATTGTCTATAAAGATGCTATGGCTATTTCACTTTTCAAATCGAGCCGAAAAACCCGGGTCGCCATTTTTGTTTTGCCTGGAAGTTCTCGCAAGATCTACTCCTCCTCTCTCTTTCTCTTTCTGTATACTGTCTATCGGTGTGGACGATCAAATTGACAAAAAAAGAAAAGAAAAAAAAAATGATGTTAAAACACAAAAGTAAATTAATTTGAGCGTCTACAAAGATGCTATGGCTCTTTAACTTTTCGAATCAAGCTGAACTACGCGGGTCGCCATTTTATTTTGCCCGGAAGTTCTCGCGCTACTCTTCTCTGCCCCACTGGTTGGCCTAGGCTATCACAGTGAACGCACACCGGGTGAGAATAGCCAAAAAGCTCGCCTGCACCATTCTCACCTAATTGCAAACACATCAAATTAAGATTAAATGCATTACATGGGGGAGGGCCTGCGCCCCTGAAACCCCCTATATTTTTATTAGGTCGGGGGTGTGTTAAAAACAAGCGAAATATTACTGCTCATTTTGTACTGAAAAATAGCAGCACATCTCCCACTCTCTTTCGGATAAAAATCGATACAGAGTATTAACACGGTCAAGTTCAGGGGGGCATGCCCCCCTGAAACCTCCCTTGCCTTGTTTTTAAAAAAGTGAAATTTTACTGCTCATTTTGTAGGCTAGGCCTAGGCTAGCTCTCCTGATAAAACATTGATACCGTATTTAAATCGGTATCGATATTCAGTACTCGGCACTCCTTGGATATGGTGGTCCCGACTTTTGTGTAGGCCTAAGTGGATATCGATACTGATTTAAATAGTCGGTATCAATGTTTTATGTTTTATCAGCAGCCTAGATCTATATCTAGCCTACAAAATGAGCAGTAAAATTTCACTTTTTAACAAGGCAAGGGGGGTTTCACCCTGACCTAAAAAACAAACATGGGGTGTTTCAGGGGGCCCCTGAATTTGACCACGATTTGATGTTTTGCAATTAGGCTTGATGCTATCTCTCCATATAGTGGCACGCGCATCAAAAAGTAATCGTTTAGAACCATAAGTAATCGCTGGCGGGGTCAAAACTAGACTAGATTTTCTCCGGGTTATTTCCCTGACACAAAAGTCGGGACCACCATATCCAAGGCCACCTCTATTCTATTCTCACCCTGGGTGAGAATAGCGCATGCGAGTCTTTTGGCTATTCTCACATGGTGTGCATTCACCATTATAGGCTAGGCCAACCAGTGTTGTAGCGTTCACCCTGAACCTCAGAATTCTACACTGTGATAACAGAATTGTAGAATTCTGTGCCGTGAACAAACGTTCCATTACTACTGTTTGTTAGCCTAAAAGCGTGCAATTTTGTCTGTGAGCAGTGGAGAGAGAGAGAGAGAGACAGACAGAGACTAGAGGAGTAGCGCGAGAACTTCCAGGCAAAAACAAAATGGCGACCTGCGTAGCTCAGCTTGATTTGAAAAGTTAAATAGCCGTAGCATCTTTGTAGATGACCAAATTAATTTACTTTTGTGTTTTAACATCATTTTAAAACTTTGTTTTGGTCAATTTGATCGTCCATACCAATAGACAGTATTCAGAAAGAGACAGAGAGAGAGAGAGAGAGAGGGGAGGAGTCTAGATCTTTGGAGAACTTCCGGACAAAACAAAATGGAATCCCACGTAGTTCGACTCGATTCGAAAAGTGAAATAGCCACAGCATCTTTGAAGACGATCAAATTAGCTTACTTTTGTGCTATAAAACGTAATTTTT